TTTTCAGCTAATTTAAATTTAACTCCATTCCCTCACGTCTACCAACGTCTTCATCCACGATATTTTTCTGTATTCTGTATTCTCCACGATATCAGTACTGGTAGTTCGTATTCCCAACTGGTGTGGGTTCACAAATAAAGTTTAAAAAAAAAATTAACTAAATCAGAAATGTGTTATACTACCATAAGTTAAGTGCAACAGGCGTTTTTCCCAATATCTGTAAATACTCACTGATCCTTCAAAAATGTATTCAATCAAAGACTCTTCTATAAGATTATAATTATAATTATAATTTCGTGTTCTTTAATCTTATTTATATATTCGTTTTCGTTTACTTTGTCTCACATTACACGTAGACCAGTCATTTATTTATTTATAAATAATTGCCCTAATTTCTTTATAAATAGATTTACTCACTTTCAGTTTTCTTTTTCTTTAATCTCATTAAAGAAATTCAATTTTGTTTTCTTTAATCTCACGTTTCACGTAGGTCAAGTATTCTCCATTATTGCTTAACATATATTTAATTTTTATTATCTCTGTTTTATACTGCTCCAGATTATTTCCATTCTCTTTCAATTAAACTTTCATTTAATAATTCATAATATTCATCTATAATATACCTTTCGTCCATTATATACGCTTCCGGTACTCCAGTTCAAAAATTTTTCTTGATGACGCAACAATGCAGCTACCCCCTCTCTTGGTACTAATACCTCCATTATCTTCACACGATCGCCTCGATCAGGTTTTTTTATTTATTCAATTAACCAAAATATGCATGATATATGTATTTAGAGCATCATGAATCAATCAAACATTCGCCATACATGGAATATGTACAACATAAAAATTTGCCAAAATTTTCAGAATTACTTGTTTCATAAAGATATCAATTCATATTAAATATACGCATTTCTAATAGTTCCGGGCCTTAATAATATAATGGACCGTTATATGTAACAAACAAAACCCTTCACACCATGGCATTAATATCCTATTTGTTTTAAATCTTACCTCAGAAAAATTCTCCAAATTTCATCAAAACGTTACATATTACCCAAATCCCTTTGCACAATCCTTATCAAGCAGAGATGGACCAGAGACCTTTTGTAAATAATCATGTATTGGAGTTCTGTCAATGGCCAGATTCTCCACTCAAGACGTACATCTGTAGTTGTAGAGCCTCCACTTGTTCTTAATTAAGACCAGTAATGTGGCTTAGTGGGAGTCATTGGGATCTCCTAGATTCCTGCCTTTCCTTCCAAGAGTTGGGGGGAAAGGCTTGACTCGGAGTTCTTCCGAGTGAAAGAATTTCGTAAATATTGTTTAAAAGTATGATTGTATTCAAGCATATCAATAAATTGGAGGTTATCTATCTCCTCTTAGTTTTCTCCTTATTTCCTCCTTCCCGTCACTCTATTTTCCATATCTCCATCTCCACTTTGTATAACTTGATACATTTGTGCATTTATTGTTTTTACTTTATTTCAACTCTTTATTCTCTTATACTTAGTCAGGATATTTTGATAGACTTTACAATATATTAATTTTCTACTTAAACTATTCTGTTTACAATATCTCAATTTTTCTATTTCTATTTATTTCTTATATAACTTCATATTCCTTTTATCTGTTTGACATTTTATTCTAAGATTACTATTTTTAGTTCTAATGTTATCTTATTTTGATTATGTTCACTTCATTAGTCCACACTTTTTATCCGTTATTATTATTTATTTTTTAGTTCTGGCTATTATTATTCTACCCACTTCATTTCATTTTAAGTTTTTTTTTTTACCTACATTGTTTATGTTTCTCATATCTATTGTTATCTGGTTCTTTTCTCAGTCCTGATGAAGGTCTGAACTTCGGGTCGAAACGTCGGCAAATGTCTAAATAAATATTATTATTTATTTTTGCCATTTTTATTTTGACTGATCACCCCAAACATTCTTCTCTTCATTATTCACTACAGTCAACCATCAATCCACAATTATAATTATAATTAATCAATTATAAAGTTGAGTGCCTCAGAATATATTGTTACATGATTGAATTGAATCGACTCCTTGGAAATGATTGAAATTTTTCGTATACAAGCAGTTTCACTATTATCTTTTACATATTATTTTGCCATAACATAAGAAGCATCATGCACTATATAAGGTAGTTAGAGTTTCTTACTTTCCACCAAATTCCTGGCTATCAACTTTAAAAATGTAACATGTTCCAATTATTTTTATTATTCTTAAAAAAACGACAAATATTCAATCACGAAGTTGTATACCTATATACCTAACTGGAGATTTACCAAACGCCGAACTTCCCTCTTGAAGAACTGACTATAAATTCGGATGATCCCAGCGCTACTCCATCATCCATTCCACTGATACAGAAAGCCAGTAAAGATTAAGTAAGGCCGCATCAGACGCAGGTGCTCAAGGTGTGAATTATGAAGATGGCTACAGCTTCCTGAGGATAGTCTTACTAGAGGTCTAGAGGCCATGCAATTTTCAAACGTCCGAGAGCATTACACTGGAATGGAAGTAACAAGTGTAATACTCTCGCCAATATTTTGTATGATGGCTCAATAACCTTTCAAAATATTAAAAAAAGTTGAATATAAAATCTTTTGAAAGAAAAAAAAAAAGAAGATGAAGAATATTCATGAATAAAGGCGAATTCGAAGTCACAAAATTCTATAGCACGGTTTATTTATATATTATTTTTTTTGTTATTAAGAACTCGTTTATTGAGAAAATTACAACCTTCCCCGATTATGTACATTTATAACAGCGTTCAGAGAGCTCATTCACAGTCTATGTACAATAAATAAAAATATATTAAGCAGTAAAATAATAATACTAAAATTAAATATATATAAATAAAATAAAATAAATTAAATCAAGTAGCAACACAAATACAAGCATAATTGTGGGTTGATGGTTGACTGTAGTGAATAATGAAGAGAAGGATGTTTGGAGTGATCAGTCAAAATAAACATGGTAAAAATAAATAATAATATTTATTTTAACATTTGCCGACGACCCGAAGTTCAGGCCTTCATCAGGCTGAGAAAAGAACCAGATAACAATAGGTATGATATACATAAACTGTGTAGGTAAAAAAAAAAAAAAAAACTTGAAGTAAAATGAAGTAGATAAGTTAACATTAAAGTAAAATGAAGTAGATAAGTGAACATTAAAGTAAAATGAAGTAGATAAGTGAGCATTAAAGTAAAATGAAGTAGGTAGAATAATGAAAATTATAAGAAATAAATAATAATATCGGCTAAATAGTGCGGACTAATGAAGTAAACATAATCAAAATAAGGTAACATAGGAACTAATAATTTTAATCTTAGAATAAAATGCAAAACAGAGAAAAGGAATATGAAGCTATATAAGAAATAAATATAAATAGAAAAATTGAGATATTGTAAATATAATAGTTTAAATAGAAAATTGAGATATTTTAAAGTCTATCAAAATGTACAGACTACGAATAAGAGGATAATGAGTTAAATAAAGTTAATGAGCTAAAAAGTTTCAAAAAAAGACCATTGGAGACAGAGCAGAGGATCTATAACTACAGATCTACGTCTTGAGTGGAAAATCTGGCCATTGACAGAACTCTAATATATGATTATTTACAAAAGGTCTCTGGGCCAACTCCGCTTGATACGGATTGTGTAAAGATATTTGGATAATACGTAACGTTTTGATGAAATTTGGAGAATTTTTCTGGAATAAGATTTAAAACAAATTGGATATTAATGCCATGGTGTGAGGGTTTTGTTTGTTACATATAACGGTCTATTATCCATTATTAAGGCCCGGAATTGTTAGAAATGCGTATATCTAATATGAGTTGATATCTTTATGAAACAAGTAATTCTAAATATTTGGAAAATTTTTATGTTGTACATATTCCATGTGTGGCCTATGTTTGATTGATTCATGATGCTCTAAATACATATATCATGCATATTTTGGTTAATTTAATAAATACAATTAAAATCATACTAACATTACAGTATCTTAACCACTTGGCATCCGGGACGGAATAATGTAAACAATGTTTAATAAGACTTAAATCTTTAATGACCCTAAAAAAATAATTAACATTAAAAAAAATAAGGCTTTAGATGAGAGATCTCCTTCCTTTAACAACCTAAGTAGTGTCCTTAGCCATGCCTGACATGTCATTATTTCTTGTATTGTCTGCTCATTTGCTGGTTTTCAATATACAGTTGACAGTGGTGAATAAATGTTTGATGACGACAATATACAATATATAACAAGTACATTTCGTATGAAAAAAGAGTAATATTATATTTTTACATTAAAATGATCACTTATCTAAGAAAAAATAAAAATATACTTCTCTTTGGGGCCTGGACAGCCTTTTATAAGTAACTTGATTTTTATCATAATATAAAAATCAAAACTAAATAGTCATATTAACCATTTATAGTCAATTTTTTTTTTGTATGCCTCTATGCTTTACTTTATTACTTTCTTTCACTATTGGGTTGCATTTTATGCAACATATTATTATACTTTTTTAATTCAATAGGATTTATTGCATATAAGTCCCGATCTTAAATTAAGTGATTATTTCTTCATTTTCATTTATGTTTATATTTTTCAATTTATTTTATCTAGATTATTTATTCCGTATTATTTCTTAAACGGATATATAATTCTTTAATTTTTGTTTTATATAATTCTATTTTTCTATATTTTATATAAGACATATAATTCTATTTTTTTGTAGTTATTTATAAATGTAAAGCTCATTACTTTGTAAATAATTTGGCAGGTATATTTAATATGTTTCTTTGGTCTACTATTTGTATGGGGAATTTCCCCAAAACAAATAAATAAAAAAAATCCTGTTCTTAATTATTACTGCTAACCTATTTGAAAAGGGGTTTTAAAAAATCATTTATTTCTATGCTCTAAATAAACTATTCGTCAACGTCATTAATGACATTATTGCTGTTGAAAACTTAACAAGGCGTTGCCCACATAACCGACTTTGCTGATCATTGCTTTATAAAATTCAAATTTCCGGACTTTTATCTTGCTACCGGAGGAAATCATGCGGGGAACACAAATATCCGGACAAGCCATTCCAATCTTAACTCCGGTCTGACTCAGCGGTGCTATATTTAGAAAAATACCTTCTGAAACCCATTTCGTTAAGTGAAGAAGGTTTTTTTTTCAAATTTGATTCATAAAACAGTTTCATCATCCGTCACAATATTTTAATACTTTATTAAAATAATTTATGGAAATATAAATGATTGCAAAATGCTCATTTAAAAACGATATGCTTGTTTTGTTTATTTATTTTGATATGTTGATTATATTTCATAGAGATTTCAAGATATTGTACTAAATATACAATAATAATTTTAGCATAAGACATTGGGAAATCTTTATGATAACAACAGTCAACATCATACAATTATCATATTTAAAATTTAATACAATCAGAAAAAAAAAATCATCGAGAGACAGAAATCGAATGTTAGGTTATTGTTGGAAAAATTCCCAACCGCAGAACCTTATATCACAAAAATGGAGGTAGCAAATAAAAACCCGTCAACGTTTCGCCAATTCAGACATCATAAAGACAGAAAAAAAATATCATATACATAAAAAAAAGAAACAACAGCAATTGACATCACACCAAGCCATCCAAATACATACTGAAAGAAGCACAATAAGTCCGGGTCTTAAAATAAGTTAGTTATTTCTTAGATGGACATATAATTCTTTGAATTATACACAGACATATAATTCTTTGAATTATACACAGACATTATATTATAGACATACGTTTAATTCCATTATTTTTTAATTATTTATAACAGTAAAAATCATAACATAACACTATCATTATAACACTAAGATATAATAATACAAAACTGTGTTAATTAAATTAAATTTAAAAAAAGAAGAACAAATTAATAAATACAAAAGAAAAAGTTTGAAGGAGTATATAATACCAGCCTAGGACATCCTTCAGTATTTATTTGGATGGCTTGTCGATAGCAAAATTTGGCTTAGATGTCAACAGCAAAATACTTTTTTTTTTTTTTTTTTTTGACTTGATTCTTCAACTCACACCTGTCAGAAGTTCCGACAATCAGCGAGTGTGATGTCAAGATGAAGAGATTGGTCTTGGAATAGGCGTGAGGGAGAGGAGTACCCAGCGGCGTCCTTCCTGTCTTGAGCGTAATATTTCTAGTTAGTGGAGGAGATCCCTCATCCAGCTTCTTTTAAGCCTCCTTCGGGTGCTATCGGGCATGTTAGTTGTGGCCATGCCTCGAATCAATGAGTTTGTATGTCCGTGTAAGTTATTATGAAATCGTTTGTAGTATGTTCGTATGTGGTCGTTAACTGTTGGCATCTGTAAGTCTTTATGTAGAGTAATGTTACTGACGTACCAGGGAGCTTTGGTAATAGTCCTGAAAGTTTTAGATTGAAAAGTCTGTAATTTACGTATGTGAGTCTTTTTGGCTGTCCCATATATCTGTAAAGCGTAGGTCCAAATAGGCTTGAGTAGGTAAGTATATGTATTCAATTTCTGTCTAAGTTTTAATTTCTTGCAAGGAGTGAGTACAATAGGCGTAGTCTTAGGTTTAAAGTTTTTGTTTTGTTTTTGATATGTTGGCCCCATGTCATTCTTCTGTCAAAGGTCAGTCCAAGATATTGAACTTTGTCTGTCTGAGGAATTTGGATATTGTCAAGGTAAATAGGGGGGCAAGTTTCACGTCGAAGGGTAAAAGTGATATGTTGTGATTTGTCAAGGTTGAGTCGAATTTTCCAGAGTTTGCACCAGTCGTAGAAATTGTTTAGGTGATATTGTAAAGTCTCTGAGGCGTATGCTGAATTTTGATGTCTTGTCAAGATTGTTGTATCGTCTGCGTAAGTCGCGGTCAGAGTATGGAGAGGATCTGGAATATCATATGTGTAAATAATATACAACAGAGGAGCGAGTACTGACCCCTGAGGCACCCCTGCTAGGGCTGGTTTAATGGTAGATAGTTCTGTACCTTGGCAAACAGAGAAAAATCTGTCAGAAAGAAAAGATTGAAGAATAAGATAGTAGGTTGGAGGGAGTATAGTCTTAAGTTTGAAAAGAAGTCCCTGATGCCAGACTCTATCGAACGCTTGAGCAACATCCAGAAATACTCCTTTTGCATATAATTTGTGCTCTAGTGCTGTCGCAATGTAGTCTGTCACTCGGTGTAGCTGATGAATGGTTGAGTGGTGTGAACGAAATCCAAACTGATGTTCAGGTATTATGTTTTCAGTAGTCAGTATGTCAAGAAGTCGTTTGTAGAGAAGTTTCTCAAATATTTTAGAGCATAATGGGAGCAAGCTGATGGGTCTGTATGATGAAGGAAAGTCAGTGTTTTTGTTAGGTTTGTGAATCATTTTTATGAATGAGTATTTCCATTGTAAGGGGAATTTAGTCGTTCTGAGTATTGCGTTATAAATTGATGTTAGGTATACTAGAGCTTTCCTTGGCATTTTCTGGAGCACTTGAGCATTTATCAGGTCATGACCGGGAGCTTTCTTTTTAGGTAACTGTCTGATTTGTTCTGCAACTTGAGTGGGAGTGAAGCAAAGTGGAGGTAATGACAGTTGTAAAGGAATGTCTAAAGTGGTTTGTACATGTCTTTCGTGATCAGTATTAGAGAAGTCAGTATGTGGTATGAAAACAGAAGAAAGATGGTTGGCAAAGAGCTCAGATTTTTCAAGGTCTGACACAGCCCAGGAACCATCTACGTTTCGGAGTGGTGATGACACCTCACAATGCTTTACAAGTTTCTTAGTCTGTCTCCATAAGCTTCCATCGTCAGTCGAAAGATTTTTGAGGTAGTTGTCGTAGATCGTTCTTTTAAAATTCTGAATCTGTCGTTTAAGTTCATTGTTAAGTCTATTGAAATTCCGTTTGTCAGATGGAAGTCGACCAGTCTGCCACACTTTGCGCGCTCTTCTCTTTGCTCTGATCAGGTCTCTAATGTACTGCGGATAGATTGGAAGAGACGTATTTCTGCTAGGTCTTGGTACAGATGATGACCATACAGCCTGTTGTAAGCTGATTGTGAACTTATCAACAGCTTTTTCGAGTTCCTCTTCGGTTTTAAGGGACATTGGGATTGATAGCGTCGAATTTAAGTAGTCGCTGTAAGCTTTCCAATCGATTATCCTATCTGTAAGTGTTGGTTTTTTTGATGCAGTACGAGGCTCATCGCATAGTACCAAACTGAGAAGAGAATGATCAGAACAAAGATCAGAGCTTGCAGTTACAGTATACGGCACTGTCCTGAGTCCTTTAGTAATGAAAAAGTCAAGTAAATCTGGTGTTTTCTGTCTTAAAGTTGGCCAGTAAGTAGGTGTATCAGGTGAGATCGTGTTTAATGAAAGCTGATCGATGGCAGACTTTAGATTTCTTCCTCTAGGAGTACAGAGTCGTGCTCCCCAGGACTGATGTTTGGCATTATAATCACCACCTGCAATAAAACACCGACCGAGATGTTGGAAAAAATTGTAAAACATTGCAGATGTTAGCACGTATCTCGGAGGGCAGTACACTGCAGCGAAGGTAATGGTATGGTGCTGGGTATACAGAGTAATTGCTGTGGATTGTATGTCAGGTGTAATGGGTAATTGTAAAGGGTTGTGTTTTAGTGATTGCTTAATCAGTATTGCCGTACCGCCATGTGCCGTCTTTTTTTTTTTTTTTTTTTTATTATTTTTTTTTTTTTATTTAAATCTCAGCCCTGCCAGTTTGGCAATACGAGTGTTTGCAGTATTGGATAGCTAGACGTGTGTGCATAACTAGCCAATACTGCAATCGATACAATAAGATTTTCTGTTTAGCTTGGCTCTTCCATCCTCTGTGGTGGAGCTTCTTCTCTTCTACCCAAATAGAAGTGGGCTGGGCCAATGATATCTTTCCACCCGTACACAAAGGCCTTGTAGTGCGGGTAGTTTTCTCTGGTCACTAGCTGAGGTAGATCGCGCTCTGATAAGACATAGAGCCCAGTCTCCCTCAGCAACTTAGCCCTCAATGCCTCATAGGCGGTACAGGCTAATAAGACGTGCTCGGCGGTCTCCGGTACCCTACAACTTGGGCATAGGGGATCAATGTTCTTACCATGTTGAACAAGCTTTGCTCGGAATCCCCCATGCCCCGTGAGGAATTGCGAGACCCAATAGTCCGGGAGGAGCCATGTAGTTTCCATTCTTGAACCGACGGTGGGGAAGTATTTCCTTAGGGTTGATCCTTTTGGCGTTGTCACCCAACGCCGGTTCCATTCTTCTAATGTGCATTCCCGGAGAATCCTCTTCCATCTGCTTGGGTCTTCACTGATCCTCACTCGGAGATTAGCCGGTAGATCCACCAAGCCATCTCTCTTCATTTCGTGCCGAAAGTAGTCTTCACGAAGTTGAAGATCAATTGGAATACTTCCGGCTAAGACTTGTACCGCCTCATGAGATACTGACCGGTACGCCCTAGTGACACGCAGCAGAGCCATACGCTGGATCGTCGCCAACCTTTTCTTCTGTTGGTGCGAGAGAGTCTGACTCCACGCAGGGGACGCATATCTCAGGATACCCAAGATAACTCCGTTATAAATAGCCAAAGTGGCTGGGTATCTGAGACCCCAAAAGGCGCCCCCGATGCGACTCAGTCCATTAAGAGCCAGGGCCACTCTACTTCTCAGATAGTCCAAGTGAGGGGTGAAGTTAAACTTTCTTCCAGTCCTTATCCCAAGATAGGTGACCGCCTCACTTGGACGTATCGTTTCTCTCTGTATATTCAGAGTGATAGGGTGGGCCCTGTCAGTCTTACCCCTCAAAAGAACGGACTGAGTCTTTGAAGCCGCCATCTTCATCTTCTTTCTCTCGCACCATTCTCCTACAAGGTTGGCGCACCGTTCAGCCTCTTCCTTTAATCTGGCTCTGCTGTTCGATGCCACCACGACTGCGAGATCGTCTACGTAAGCAGTGGCGGGGAACCGCTGCTCTTCCAGTACTCCCAGCAGCTCGTCAAATACCAGTTTCCACAAGGCTGGACCTAGTACAGATCCTTGTGGGCATCCTCTTTCTACAGAATCCTCTACAGCAAAGAAGTTACCTTTTATCATTAATTTGCGGTCTTCTAGATAGCTTCTTAAGAGGTCGTACAGGTTGCTGGGAGCTTCATACTTTTGCAACTGCTGGAGTACACTCGGCCACCAAACGCTATCGAAGGCGGAGGATATATCAAACAGGAGAAGCATTACATACTTCTCCGCCTTCTCTTCAACGTCACGGCGCACCCTGAGCAGAGCATCTGCGGTTCCCCTACCTTTAGTACATCCGTACTGTCGTGGATGGCTAGCCCTTAAGAAGACTGGTCGTAGACTCCTCATCAGCAAGGTCTCCAACAATTTACTCATTATAGGAAGGAGACATATAGGCCTATATGACTTCGCTAACTGCTTGTCCTTATCTCCTCCCTTATAAAGGAGTCTAACATCAGCAATCTTCCATATTTTAGGGAAGTAACCCCTGTCTAGGCAATCATTGAACAATGCTAACAGCCTTTGTTCAATGTAGGGGATACTATTCCTTAGTATTGCTGTGTCTATCGAATCCAAGCCAGGAGCTCGACCAGTCCTTTGCCTATCCACGGCAGCACGGAGATCCCATATGTCCCATGGTGGGCATAGGTCCGTACCTGGTGGGCATACCGTAGTGCGTCTAATGTATCTCTCCTCTTCATTATCTTGGGACGGATCATCCCTGGGGTAGGTTTCCGCAATGAACGTTTTTGCCGTCTCCTCCAGAGTGGTTGCCTGAGTAGCTCCGCGTTTCAATGCGGCTATTACCTGTTGTGGATTTAACTTACCCAAGGCAACTCTGTAAGGGATACCCCAGGGGTTCTTGGACGATTCTTCAATAATGAACTCGTCCCAAGACTTCCTTTTTCGAGAGCGCACTTCGTTTCGGTATGCTCTGGACTTGGACCTATACTCGTCGCGAAGTGTGGTGCGCCTCTCCTCACTACCACACTTTTGATAGGACCGCCGGACCTTGTAGAGCTCTCTCTTCATAGCAGTTAAGGCCGGCGTCCACCATGGGATAGGTCGAGCTCTCACCTTCCGTTGCTGGAGGGATTCCTCAGCGGCGTCACGGATGACATCTGTGATCCTAGAGACCCTATAATCTAGACTATCTGTCTGGTCCGTCTCCGCTTCATCCCATTCTTCATCTACTAATTTTTCCTCCAGCGTTGACCGGAAGGCTTTCCAATTTGCCCTTCGGGTTAAATAACCCATAGCGATGCCGTGGGAACTTTCCATATTTTCCACCAGCTTAAAAGCTATCGCTTGGTGGTCGGAACTCGTTTCAGATCGGAGGATCCAATCGTTGATGCGACTCGCTAGCACCGGTGATGCCATTGTTACATCAATCCAGCTCTGCCCTCGAGCGCTAGAAAACGTTGGCAAGGCAGAGGGATCATTCATTACCACTAGCTGGCTTCGGCCAATGAATTCTCCGAGTTTAACGCCTCTTCTATTCGTTTGATTGGATCCCCAGACCGTGTTCCAGGAGTTGGTATCTGACCAGATGATGATGTTTCTATAGCAAGCCGTGATCATCTCCATGGCGGATATGTCGTTGTCTATATCACCTCCGTCAGGAAGATATGATGAAACCAACGTAAAGGTAATATTACCCCATTTGATATAACATGCGACACAATCCGCCGTGGTAAACTGCCTCAGATCCATCACATCGAGGTTTGGGTTATTTACCACTATAGCTGCCCTGGGCCTCCTCTCTCCACTGCTCAGAGCTATAACCCTCGATGTGAGGCCGAACCCCGTGACCATGTTCCCACGGCATCTCGGTTCTTGAATCGCCATAACATCATAACGTCCAGCAAGAGCCCTTAACTCATCCGCTACGATGCGACGACGGCCCATGTTGAGCTGGAGAATGGTGATATTATTCATAGTAGGTCCTCTTAGCCACCTCGTTTGACCATCTTAAGTGTACAGGGCACTCTCGGCTGCCCGCTTTATGCTTCGTTTGGCTTTGCGGTGCACTCGCCCGCACACAGTTAATACAAGTCGGGCCAGCTTGTTCCTTCTTCCTTGGACAGTCCTTGAGTATGTGTCCATTGGCTGCACACCATATGCATACAACGGTATCCACCGTACAGGTAGCCTTCGTGTGTCCATAGCCTTGGCACTTTGTGCAACGAGGGGCGTCGAGGTAATCCTTAAACGTCATGGACCACCATCCTCCATCTAAAGCTGCCATTTCCAACAGCTGGAACCTCACCATTGGGTGAACTTCGAGTACCCAGTTCCTACTTAGTCCATTTCTAGATACTGAGGATAATAATGGCCGTATATCATCATTAATGAGTGTAGTAGGGACTGACTTCTCGTTTATTCTTCCCCACAAAAATCTCGTTAATTCAGCTGAGCCCCATGAGTGAGGGACACCCCTCACCTCAATCTTAGGTTTCTTTCTTTGTGCTAGTTTTGCCTGAAAACCTTTCTCCCGTAACCCCTGCCAACCAATTATTTTAGTGGCATGGGTACTGTCTTCTAATCGGACTAAAACGGAACCACCTTTGGTTGCTCGAACAATTTCAGCCTTAACACCTATTTCTGTGGGGGAAGGCAGGGCATTGATAATGTCCACCGGACTCTTACCGGTACCGCTAATAGTAATAAACGCCGGCTTGAGGGACTGAGTAGGTTTTAAAGGCAATTTTCTTACTATTTCGGCCAATGACTTCGGCTGATGTGGACCGGACCCAGTCAAAGATTCCGCCTCTGTCTTATGCGTTTCATTTTCGGTTTGTAGGCTTTCGGGACCGGTAGACTTTTTAGTCTTTTTCCTGTTTCTTTTGCTCTTAACGACTGTAAAAGGAACTGCGGCTGGTAAAGGCTCAGGCGGGGTCACGTTAGTCGCGGATGACTTTTCGTTGCTTTTTCCAGGGATGGCGAGGGGACCATTAGATTTCATAGTGGTTCCTGAGAGAGATTCTATAACCTTCGGCACTGTTTTCTCTATTACGATGCTTGTTATCATCGAATGTACTGAAGGCGAGGTAAGTGTTTCCTGAACCGCTTTATGGACAAGTAAAGATAAACCCTCACTCTTATCTTTGTACTGCTTTGTCCTTTCCTCCAACGATTCAATAGCGTCAATGAACCACTGTATTTTGCCATTAATGTGGTTTTGGTCTTTATTTTTAATACTTTTGTCAGCTTTAGTTAGGTATATTCGGAGGTTTTCTTGAATTATCTTTGCTTTTTGAAGGAAGTCATTTGAGATTCCTATCTCAGAAGCTTCTGCGTTATCAACAAGAGAAACCTTTCTCGCCCTTTTTGCGGTTGAACGTGAAACCCTTGGAGGGTCCCCTTCTTCCCTTTCATCTCCCTCCATGTTGTCTATAATATTACTCCTGGACAAGTCTTTAAAGAGTAGACACTTAATAACTTAAATAGTAACAGTAATAATATCTCTTATCACATAAACAGGTTATACTTACAAATTTATTTTTTTACACAGATTCAGTAAAGTTAATTTCTTTGTGCTCCCTGGGAAGGTCTTTTAGAGATCTTCTACTCAATATAACACTCGGAACTCAAATTTTTTCAAACAAGAACTCCTTCACGAAATTTATACGACTTAACCTCTCCTGTCCAAACTTCAATCTATGTACACTATTTACACTTACAACTAATAACAACAATAAAAAACATGATAAAACACTAGAAAACAATAAGATGGCTATGAACAATTAGAACAAAACGAAAACACAAAACACTGCCTCAAAAGATAGCAATTTAGTAGATCGCAATTAATCACAGTCACACACAAAGTCCCATGTGCCGTCTTATCAGGGTGGTCAGTTCTATATATTTTGTAGCCTGGAATGTAAAATTTAGAATGTGGAGTCAAGTGTGTTTCAGTGATGAGAGCAATGTCAGTCCGTTTTTCATGTATGTACATGTCAAGTTCAGTCCTGTGTTGGTTTATACCATTTGCGTTCCAGAGAAGAACGGACATGGAGCCCACTGTCAGCCGATTAGTAGCCATAACTGGAGGATAAGGCTTGTGCAACGTGAGACAGTTCTTGGAGAAGGCTGAAAAGAGGCTGGATGAGGTTATTCAATCCACTTACCAAGTTGAAGAGCTGAGCTGAAGCCGGGTGATTGTAAGTCGGTAGTGGCGGTTGAGTAATGACCTTTTTCATTTCTGGATGCTTTGGCTGGTGAAGGTGATTTTCTGGGACTTCTGTAGGAGAAGTTCGCAGATTTGGTCCTAGATATTGAGAATCGGGTTTTGAAGAACCTGAATTTGCGGTATGCTGACTTTGCGGAAGAGAAGGAAACTCGTCTATACCTGGGGGTGCGCTAGTTTGTGCTTTTTGGGGACTTTGTATATTTTTACGGAGATTGAGTACTTCCCTCAGTTGTTTTAGAGTTGCACAACCTCTATAATTTGCTGGATGGGATCCGCTACAATTCGCGCATGTTGCTGCGGTCTCTCTTGTCTTTGTGCAGACGGTGCTATCATGTCCTTGGCCACATCTCACACACTTCGGGGAGTGATTGCAGTAAGCCTTTGTGTGGCCATACTGCTGACAACGGGTGCACTGTGGAATCATTCTTTTCTTTCTTGGCTCTTCGATTTTCACTCTAGTATAGTATAAAAATTTGATATCAAAAATTTTTTCATTAAATGTGGCTTTAGAGATATCGATAAAGAACATGGGAAGTGGATTTTTGTATCTGGAAATAACGTTCACAATACTTGTGGCATCGTAGCCTAGGCATTTTAATTCGTATTTTATGGTTTCAATTGGAGTAGCATGGTGTAAGTTTTTTAATACGATTCTTGGATTTCTATCTTCTATTAACTGATAGGTATGGAAATCGGCACCTACCTGTCTTAAGTTAGCTACTATACGTCTATATGTGTCAGAGTTTTCAGGATATACGGTTACTCCTCTTGATGTGGATTTTAGGTTAAAGCTGTTCAAACCTCCTACATTTTGGAGAAATGTGACCAGTTCGGTGTAGTTCTGTACATCATTCAAGTGGATAGGGGGCGGTTTTACAGAAACTGGTTGCTTAGTGGTAGCATCAGACTCGTCACTAATGTTAGTTAAAACTTCAAAACTATTAGTGGTTACTGTTGTAACTTCACTTACCTTTTTAGCTTTTCTTGGGTCTCTGTTATTGTCCATTGAGCGTTTTCTTCCTGTAACGAGTTCCCAATTATTTTCAGTAGTTTGGTTTGAGTTTAAAGCGTCCACATTTTCTGTAGAACTGGCAGATATCGACGTCTCAGACATCGTTTGCGGGCTACACCGAGGTGTGGAGTTCCTATTTCTTGGAGCTAATTGGTTTCAACAACAGAATGCAACAAAAAGAAAAGTTTTCACTGTTAATTTACTCTAAGATTTTGTCAAAAAGATTTTCAAAGAAAAATTAACCTCACTTTTATCAATGTTCACACATTTTTTGTTTTCTTACTTCGAAGAAGTGTTCACCAATTATATTCCTTATAGTAGTTTCAATTTTGTTTCCAGTCCCGTCACAATCTCGTTTAGATCGAATGCCACAAACAGAACAGACAAGGTTTAGCTGCCAGAAGTTGGTCTATTCTTCCGTGATATTCTTATTTGAAATATAATAGAAAAATATTAAATTAAAACGGCGAACACGCCATTTCTCCCAAGTCATAGAAATGAAATATCGTCAATAGTACAATTTAAAAAAGAAAAAGAATACAGATTAAATTTTTACCTGTGATAATGCTTAAGACGATTGCGGTCCACAGCATCTCCTGAAACCAAATTATAACTATAAATATATGTAACAAAATCAAATATAATTTAACAACGAAAGCTTATGGTTATGTTAATCCTCTTTTATTAAGATCTTTTTTTTATTTCATACAAAATTAACATGAATGGTTAAAATTTGTGTCTCAGTAGTCTTAAAAAATAATTTTACGGTTCCGGTTTTTTCCTCAAAGCACAGTGTAAGGAATTTCTTTATGGGTAATCTTTATCTTCAATGGTATGTTTTAAATTTTATTTTTAGCCTTTTTAAGATGCGATAAAATAAATTTTATAATCATTGTAACTAATCTAAGTCTGATCACCTACTCCGAATATTATATATTGTACTATAGCAAATATACAGGGTGTTTCAGGATTATGTGGCCAAACTGAAAATATAAATTAAGGACCTCAAAACAAGAAAAAAATTCCTCTGAAGGTATGTCCGCAAACGCTTTGTTTAGGAGATATTCACACATAAATATTTTCATTGTTATGGATTATTTACATATAAAAATTATTTTCAAGTTTATTTATTTTCAGCCATTTTACACCAATTTTCAAAAATTTTTGTCAACTTAATGACTACTCATCTGATTACGTCGTTTCGGCTCGTTGGTTAAAAGTGACAATAGTAACAAAGCGATAAAAGATATTAGGGATGATAAAAACGAGAATGAAAACCAAAATAACAAAATTAATAAAGAACCGAATTTAATAACAAATTATTTTAAAACCGAAAATGTAGTAAAACAAAAACCTTCCATAAACGATATACATGACATTAAAACACAAAATGAAAAATATAATAAAAACAAACAACCTACAAAATATTTTAGCGTCACATATATTAGAAATTTAACGGACAAAATAGAAAGAACATTTAAACAATATGATGTAAATGAAATTAAATTTGCAATCAAACCTATTAATCAAATAGATACAATTTATTCCAAAACTAAAGATAAAATACCCACCGATACATTAACGAATATTATTTTAAAAATAAATTGTAAAAATTGTAACAACAAATCATATATTGGACAGACATCACAATGGTTTGAAAAAAGACTTAAACAGCACAAATAAAATTGTAATTCAAAAAATACAAAAATTAAATTAGGTACTGGGCTCTCTCAGCACACTGTGCAAACAAAACAGGAATTTAATTTCAATAACGCCAAAATCCTACATAAAGAAAGTAATATGAATAAACGTAGAATAAAAGAAGCAATATACATAGCTAAAAATTTAAAAAAACTCTATAAATAATCATACAGATGTGGATAATATGAATACCTTTTACCCGAGTTCGATTGAAAAAAAAAAAATATGAAATGAATTAGCTAATTGTACTTAAAATAAATCCATATATAGTATTGGAAAATATCATTGTATATGTTTAGGATAAATAGTCTTCCCCTACTCCTTTAAGAATAACCAGTCACGAAACTGAAATGAGGCTGATGAGATGTCGGTGACACATTATAAGGTAATTTTAACTTATTTCAATCATTTAATAATAAATAATTGAGTAATAATAATTTTATAAAATAATTAAAGGTGGACATGACAAAAATAATTTTTTTTTTTTTACATGAGTAGACGCATGCAATTCGCATAGGTTGAAAAGGACAGGTACATGATTGGTATTTTAGGTATGTAAAAAGAATTTCTATATATTGAGGTATGTAATGTTTTAAATATGACTGTAAATTGTAAACATTTTTTAGAATTGAAAATAGCCGAAACGCCATAATCAGATGTGTAGTCATTAAGTTGACAAAAAATTTTGATAATTGGTGTAAAATGGCTGAAAATAAATAAACTTGAAAATAAATAGTATGCACCGAAGAAGAATTAATATTGTGAAAAAAATTATTTATTTTTCTAAGGTTAAGGCAAATATACTTCCATTTTCTTTAGTCTTTTTTAATCACATCTATTAAATCTGACGTTTCGGGAAAATGTTCCCATCCTCAGAGTATTCATTATGTTTACTGAAATTATACATATTTGAAATGAACTGTTATTACATTGGTAATCTACTCTATTCATTGTATAATTATTTATCTTGATGCTTCCTAGAAAAATAAAAATAAGAATATAACTTATTTGCTTGTTTCAACTACTTTATTAATTAAACGTAAACATTAAATTCATATTAAATGTTGTTCAAAGTAATTTCCTTGAGCATTAAGAGAGACTCAGTATCTTTCTTCAACAGCAGCAGTGGGAGAACGGCACTGATTATGTATTATGGTTTCACAAGATTCAATTTTCCTACTTCGTAAGGAATTAAGGTTATTGGCCGGACTTGCACAGACTTTTTGTTTAATGTCACCTAAACAAAAAAAAACCAGTGGTGTCAGGTCTGTAAAACGTGCAAGCCAAGCCACTGGTCCTGCACGACCAATTCATTGATTAGAATAATTAACAGTTAGCCATTGTCGTGTACCTCTCCGTAATGTGCAGGACAACCATCTAATTGAAGCCACATGTCCCTTCTCAGTTGTAGTGGAATATGTTCAATTAAATCATAGTAATCATTATTACTATTATTTGATTATTTATTTATTTATTTTATTACTATTATTATGTTAATGTTTACATTTAATTAATAAAACAGTTAGAACAAATAAATAGATTTTATTTATTTCATATAACATAAATAATTCATAACAACGAAAATCTTTAGGTGTGAATATTTCCTTAAAAAAGCGTTTGCGGACATACGCTCACAGAAAACCTTTTTCTTGATTTGAGGTCCTTAGTTCATTTTTGCAGTTTGGCCACTTAACCCTGAAACACCCTGTATTTCGTCGATTTATTCCGAAAAATTATTAAGTAAACTTTTAGAAAATTAAATTATTGAAAAATTTGATGAATTAAGGCCGATATCATACACGGAGATAGATTTCAGGCTGAACTTTGAGTTGCTCTTTTTGAAAATCTTAAAAGATGTAATATTTATTTTTATTTAAGGATGTTAAAATGGGAAACTCAGGTATAGCAGATCGGAATATACTTAGAAGAGTAAAGAAATGAATTTGGAAGTTAAGCGGTTTTTAGCGAGCTTGATAATTTTATATAGTGAATAGAAACCACTACCGATAGGATCTATAAATCCTTTTCCTAGAAATAGTACGTTTAAAAAATTCTGAAACACGTTTAAAGCTTTATACTTTCGGTCCCTATTGCTTACGATCAGAATACGGTCGACCGTCGTTAATAAAAAAAATAAAATAAAATAAACTAAGAAAGAAAGTGGTTGCGTAAAATGGTTCAGTATTCGTCAGAATCCGATGAACGATTGTATTAGAAGAAGACACAATGCTTATTTAGCTATTTCTAGATTTGAAACATATTTCTCAAGATTCTATACACATGTTCATTGGACCACATGGTTAGAAAAACTAATATCTACGTTGAAACTAGCTGCCTACATTAAACATGGAAGGCCAAAAGACGATGAGAAACGTCCAACATTTAAATCAAAATTTAACATATAAAAAACAAAAAACATTGAAAACAAGGAATATTAAATAGTAATTTTTATCTATGCGAACTAGTTAATAACCTCTAGTAACAAATATAAACTATAATAAAACTTGTAAATAAGACAAAATAGTAGAGACAACACTGTAATAATTAATATCAAATAATAAAAGTGCCTAATCACATAAAATATGAAAATAATAAATATTGATAAAAGCATTAGTTAATATAAGAATATTTACTACTATTATAATGCAGTAACTGTATATATAGGGGAGACCTACAAGTTGTAACATACTTTTAAGAATAGGACAGAAAAGAAATGTATATGAATATGAGAATATGTAAATTAAAACAAGTAGGGAATTTGACTAGAAAAATTAAAAATAAAATATCAAATATGAATATAAAACGCAAATTTTTGGCGAAAGAATTATAATAAAATACGACAAAGCTATAATAAAATACTACATAGCTAATATTGAAGATGAGATGAGAGAAATTATAAAAAAAATTATTTGGCTTGTTCATTATAAACAGGATTATTATTTAATTTTTAAATTTAATCAATAATAGATTAAAGATCAAAACAGCACAATTACTCCAACATATACATAAAAATTTATAAAATAAAATATCTGATTAACTTGAAAATAATTCTTTAACCTTTTTAGCCACATGAAAAAATTCTAATTAAAAAAAACACATTTAAAGCATATTAAAATGCCATACAGTATGTTACAATATATTATATGATATTTTTCTCTAAGGCAGTACATGTTAAAGGTTATACCTTTATATATTCAAGTTGTTTTAATATTCTCTCTTTCTTTCTTTTTCCAGCAATTTACCTTGGTAAACGGCGTTTCTGAAATTGCGTTTCTCTTGTTAAAAAAAGTTTGTACTTGTAAATATGTCTATTAGAATAATTTCAAACTTTAATTTATTATTGTTCAAGTGTAAAATTTATCTATAAAATAAAATATACCCAATGCTGTAAAAATATTATATAATGAAACGAACAAATGTTTTACTCTGGGATAAAGCTCCCTAAGAATAATTACAATGTTCAGATTTTAGACATATTGCCTAGACTTATGTTTACCTATGATATATACTATTGATATTTTTAGAGAAATTTATATTGCTTACATTATTGCGGTAGTTTGATTATGAAAAAGGTGAAGGAATAAATTTTGTTTAATGAAGTATGAAAAGGAGAATCGAAGGATAGATGTGAATAAGATATTCCAAAAGAATAGCAAGATTTCCTGAAAAAACTGGTTATATAAGAGGGAATATATAAATAAATAGGTCAAGATATTATGTTAATAGAGTGAATAATGAAACGTAGAGTAGGGGATTCTAGGACATAGGAGGGTTTTTTGGTTCTAAAGATCTGTTTACCAAGGAATATTGCTGCAGAAAAGTAGGTAAAAGCCACTTCACGGGATACTCACATGAGACATGAGAGAACCTGAATTAATCTAAGGTGGTTCTT